TTTTTTTTAACCTATAACAGGAATGACAATTTTTATAATTGCCTGATATGGGAAACAAGCAGATCAGCAAATCACCACTGTTGCACTGCTAAAATGGGATCTCGAGACGATAAATATGCTGTAGTGGATCCACAACTGAGGTAAACGTTACGACTAATTTCAGTATATATGACGAACGAACAGTAAACACGATAAATTGACAAAACGCGAAAAAATTTATCATTAAATACTATGGGGCAAATTACTAGTTAGGCCCAGTGGTGGGATTCAATTTTTATGTCAGCCGGTTCCATCACAAAACTCATTTTTTTCACCCGGTTCTGTTACAAAAGGTCATTGGAGGTAACCAGTAATGCTAACCGGTTCGCTGATCTGATATAATTACGTGAGACGGTTCTATAGAACCGGTGCGAACCGGCTGAATCCCACTACTGGTTAGGCCTATATAAAACGTCCACAGAAGACTGATTAGATTGGTGGATATACCGTGACCACTTGAAAAATCGTAGAATAATATGAAATTCATAAATTTCTTTGCCTTATAAGTCAATATGTTGTTTCAGAGTGATTGGTGTTAAAGCTCTCCGCGTGGTTGATGCTTCAGTGTTTCCACATCAAACATCGTCAAATACTCAGGCATCAGTGTATATGGTCGCTGAAAAGGCAGCACATTTGATAAAACAGACATGGCAACTTCGAGCACTTTAGCATCATATTTTGAAATACTATTGTATATAACAGCATTAATTCCTGCTAATACGACTTGTATTAGAGTGGGCAATAAATTTGCTTTGAAAAAAAGATTTCTCATTATTCGAGAGCGTGTGTTATATATACCTATGTTAATAAAGACTACAATTTATTGAACGGCGATATAAATCGTTTAACGGCAAATACCGACTTGGGGAGATAAAATGCGATTTCTTGCTATACGCTCGCACATGATTCCGTTAGTATAATATATGGGAGCCATATATTTCCCAGAACAAGATGAAACAAGTGAAGATGAAAATGGGGCGTCTGGAGGTTGGTAAGAAGCGAAAGATATGAGTTTTATTCATTGGATTTCTACTGACCAAATACTTATCGTCTCCCATTTGCCTTTGCACCGGTGGATCCATATACGAGTATTTGCGTATAATGCAAGGATGCTGTAGCGAGGAGGGTGAAGATGACTATTCAAGTGATTCAGGAGTCTTACTGCAAATCAGCACAAATTTAATCATGTAACCAAATTCCTCCGACAAACTTGGACAGACAACATAATTCAGTTGAATTACAAACACTGTAGAAATATTTTTTATTTATTTCGCTGCCACGAATAGCGTTATGGTGGACTGTGTATAGCCTACAGGATTGCGATGTATGAGAATTTAAAAATGTTTCTTTCGGAAAAAGGTTAGTTGATCGGCGAACCATAGACTGGTGTGTTGTCGGTATTGTATAACTTCATCTGCCCCTGTGACTAGAACAAGGAGTGGATCTGTGCAAACCTTTATGTCGCGAGATTCGAAATACACAATTCAATACTGGGGGGTACCACTGCTGGATTGACCATCAAGCAATATTAACACGTGCTTAGGGCACACCAAGGGGAAGGGTGTACCACAGAAGTTTTCATAGACGATTTGTCAATGATGCCTCAGTATTTAATGAAACAATTCATGTTGGTCATACAACACAGACCTCAATATTTGGTCCGGTTGCAAAAAATATCTTTTTTTCTTGTTGTTTCTATCGATGTTTGTAGGCATGAGAACTGTTCCAAAAAAACATGCAGATTAATCGTAACTTGGCCCTCAATTAGTCATGAATACTCAACACTAATTCAATTTCAGATAACATAGAATACCAGTTTCATAATTATTATTTTTCAAATATAAAGAACCAAAATCGTTGGCACTGCCAATCTACGTGCCACGCCACTCTGCAGACAAAAGCATGCGTGATGAAGTGTCCGATTATATCTAATTTTGATTAGGATTTTTTCGATCTTGTTAAATCGTCAAACTTGATCTGTTATTGCAGCGTTGATTCCGCTCTATTGCAGTCGATCGGTTATTTTCCAGATTGTTCTTGAAAAATCCCAAGATCTGCAATAGAATCCCTAGGATATGCATTTATTTTAGTAGAATGAAAAAATGATTGACCATACATTGCTATGTTTCTATTTCATCAGAATCTGAGAGAAGGTGTGGTCTCAACAGAGTTTTAGAATGGATAGAAAAGTACACCACAAGCGCGATTTAATGCGTTTCCTCTTTAGTGCCTGCGGTACGGTCACGAGGCTCTTGATACAGAATTTATATGGTGTTTTTTATTTCATTTTCAGTTTGTATGATAATGTTTTAATCGGTAAAATAGCATAACGCCGCCAAAATTTCACTATATTTTGTAAGATGTTTTGTGAATTTAGAAACCGTATACCAGAGATAAGACGGTCAGTTAGCACAATAGATAGAAAGGATCATGTTGATGAACCTTTTACCAGTCGTGGTATCTCCTATACTGACACTCAGAAATTTGGTTTGCAGATTCACTTCTTAAATTATCTTACGCATCTTATCGCCGATGATTGTATAACGCATTTTTCTTGAAAAAAGTAAACTAAAGTGAACAATGATTAAAAACAGGATATCATATTATTTTCCCGAATAACCATAAGACAGTTAAAGCAGCAAACACGATAGTCCCAGATGAACGACTTTTATTCAGGCATGAATACGCCTGCTTCGAAACAGCGCATTATGTATAATGTGATATGATAATTAGAATCGTCGTGGGTTGCCAGGCGAGACGTTGTTAATTAAGTAGGTTTCTGATCAGCCCGGTCTTCGTCAGTCGCGGTGGCGCAGGGAAAGCGTGGAGACGTGGTTGAACATCAGGCCAGGTATGAGGATGGGTTCGAACCCCATAGGAAGGACCGAATAGGTAAGGACTAACAGACAAGTCAGGTGGTCGCGAGAAGAAAGAGAGCCGGCGGGCAGGGGAGGGAGCGAGAGCAGCAAGCAGTCGAGGGAAAATAAAAATGGTGCGGTGAATCGGTGATACTATAACAGAGGTAAATTACCAAGAGGATCTAGGGAGGAAAAGAAGCAAAGCAGGCTGATACTGAAAATAGTGGAAACCAAAAGAGTCTGGAAGAAAAGGAAGCAGGAAGAGCAGCAAGCAGACAAGGGAAGAAATAATGATACTGACCCGCAAGCAAAATGAGTCAAAAAATTGTTAAGCCAATGAGGCCAAGTTCCAGTTTTGGGGAATTGTTTATATTATCCATCCACATACCAGCACCTCACAATATGAGCAAACTTCACCGCAGGCTACTTACTAGCCAGCCCACAGGCTCTGTTTGTGAGAAAATGTGAGGCCTCTGTTACTACTATACTTCCAGTGGAGCTCGTTATGCATTCGTTTTATATATTTTATGTTCGAACCTTCGCATAGTCTTTCGGATGTCATTATATATAAAAATGGGATAAAGGCTGGGCTGTCTTAGGGGATTTAGAACATTTTTGATGCCTATTAGATTGAATCATCATTGAAGTTCATGCTGAAGAGTATGTAAAAAACTTACATCTACACCTAGACAACAACTCACCTGTTGCTAAAGCTGATTGCTGGCATAGTTGTTTCGGCATACTTTGATTTTACGGTACGTTTCAAATAAAACAGCAAAGAGGTTTGTCTTGACGATTGCTGAAACCACACATCGGGCGGGGTATACTCGATATTCCATTCATATTCTACTTCTAAGTTCAAATCAAAATTAGTGTAAGTTCGCTGATATGCATAAATAAGGGCATTTTCCTCAATTTGAATTTAGGGCAGTAGAATGGATACACCTAGTTTAGAACTGAGTTGTTTTAATTGCCGATAATGCTTACGCTCAGGGCTCTTGAAATGCATGATTCCGACCCTCCGGTTGCGAAAGGTTTCATTGGAGGTTGCGGTATGTTTCAAGAACTTTATTGGAGTATTGATATTAATACATTTTAAACAAATGAGAAAACAGATCCTGACTTGACGTGACGAAACTGAACGTTACAGGCATGAGTGGGATTATAAAATTTTATTTAGAGAAACAAATAAGTAGGGGAAGGTGGGCCACGGTGGGACATGGAGCACAGTGGAAAATCAGCTCTCACACTCGTACTATATCCGGAATCCATTTTTCTACTTTAGCTTTTCCAGCGTGACAAACCACCGTCTGTTAATTTTCAGCTTTAGCCCACTGTAAAATATGCATAACGTTGGCGAGTGGACGTGCCTTACTAATCTCTCCGTGGGATAGTCTGAAATATTTGTTTCCTATGGGGAACAATGGACCGGGGTTCAGTGAGACATGCTCCACTGGGCACAGTTCGGCAGTGTTTGATCCATTAAGTGCTTAAAGGCCTAGAGTTGCGTTATGTTTTGTGTAGTATTATGATATTTTTCGACCCATGGCCCAATATGAAATATATTCAAGAATCACAAATATTTTCGGATTCAGATTCAAAAAAAGAAGTCATTTAATTTGTTTACGGAAATGTTTGGAAAAATATCTGAAATATTTTGGTTGAACATTGATTTCAAAAATATCAAATCTCCGATTTGAAGTCCCCCCGTTCTTTAGATGATAATGCTGATTCTTTGCTTATTTTTGAGGGCATACTTCGTTGAATTTAATAGAATGCACCATTGTGCCCCAGGGTCTGTCTGGATGAGCCCCACAAGTGTGGGATACAGTGGGACACTTAACAAACATGTTTCAAAGCATTTTGGTGGAAAGATGTGTGTCGCAATAGGAAATTTCTTAGTCGGTAAATAAAAACTACATTTACTCCTCTCTGCGTTAGTCCCACAAAGTGAAATGAATGCGCAAAATAAACAGCTCAAAATATGCAAAAGAAAAAAGTGTACCAACCTTCCCCACTTTCCCCTGCGCTTTTTTGAAAAAGGTCAACATAATAAAAACACTCTAGTCAGTCGGGATGCAATTGTATTTGAAAAATATGATGTTAAATTGTTCGGAATTGCCATGTCTGTTTCATCAAATCTGCTGCTTTTTCAGCGACCATATACACTGATGCCTGAATATTTGACGATGTTTGGTGAGGAAACACTGAAGCGTCGACCACGCGGAGTCCTTCAACACCAATCACTCTGAAACGACATACTGACTCATAAGGCAAGAAATTTATGGATTCCATGTGATTCTAGGGTATTTCAAGTGGTCATGGATACGTATCCACCTATCACATCACGATTCTGTTTTATTAGCTTGTAATTTGGCAATTTGCCATATATATGTTATGAATGATACTTTTTATGCGTTTTGTGTATTACGCTGTTCGTTCATCATTCTGAAATTAGTCGTGAAGCTTACCTCAGTTGTGGATCCACCACAGCATATTTATCAGAGCGGGATCCCATTTTAGCAGTGCAACAATGATGATTTCCTGATATGGTTGTTTCCCATATTAGGCAGTTATAAAAATTGTCATCCCTGTTTTAAACATAAAAAACATGCTGTGGATAAAATAATTATCACCATGAAAAATTCATCCATACTTCCACACATTTCGCGAATTACAGGCTCTGAGGGGACTAGATTAACCAACAAACCAATATTATATAATAAATGGCAATGTGCGAGCGGATCCTCCAAATATGAAGCGTACCTTGAAGCATCTTTGTTTTCTGTTCTATTACAGATGGCAGGCATCATTACTTGAGCTCCGGCTTCTTGAAATGCTGCCGACTTTTCGAATTCTTCCATCAAGCGATAGGCTGGTGACAGAGAGACAAATTTATTTACGATGACTATCTACACTAAAGTGTTCAGTCGGAAACAAAGAAGATTTGATCGGTGATTAGACAAAAATCAATTCTCAAATGTATTTGTATAGATGGACACAAAAACCAAATGACTGCAGCGATTTCAGCAAACTTCTAGCCAGCTGTTAATGAAGTGTGTCTGCCGGATGCCATATAACGATTTTTCCAAGTCCAACGTCCTCATCCAAAACGACAACAACAATTTACCAAAATGATTTGTAAATCCATTTCGTGTTCAACAAGTAGATTGTCAAATTAGATGAAATCCACCCAAAAAAACACAACAACAATGCTAAAATATATGGACACAAAAACCAAAACGAAGTAGTGCGGGTATCTAATTTTTTACGGTTAATTACCAGTACCTCGGTCTTCACGACTTCGCCTGACCACCAGATAGCAACAATCGCAAACGCAGAACCGCCACAAGGTGCGCAAATTTTAATTTTGATGACGTCATCACATACATAACAACGAATCCCATATAGCAGTTTTCCCAGCCTATGGGACATGACCCAGAGCTGGACCAATAGAAAATTATTTGGGGTCGATCATAACCTAAAAGTAATTGATTTTCTCTCCCAGTAAATTTCATTGTTCATTCGAGTGTTTTTCAGATTGCTATGATTCTTGTAAGTTTAATCCAAAGTGTGTTTGATTATTTTCGATGCAAAAATATCTGGAATCTTAAAGGTATTCATAATAGTTTTATAATTTTGACCAATTTGCCGTCCACGGGTTCGATGTGGTGTACCCAACGAACTGTATACAGCAATCGTTTCAATAGACTGCTAACAAATGGAGTAATGCAGTTCCTGAGTAAGGCCAGTGTATTATTTATCCTAATATACCCAGTTTCTATTTATGGATTACTAAAAATATCCAACCAATGCTCGAACATCCTCGTGCCATCGGAACCTGTTCAAATTTTGCTCAGTCCCTTGACTGTACGACTTATGGAAAATCTTGTATTTCTGGCTTTGTTTACCTATCCACTGATAAAGCACAGAAGAGATGAAAATACTGAAAAAGAAAGTTACAGTGCTAGAGCTTATAGCATTACTTTAATAAAGCGCTCCATCCGTGCACCAACTACATTTCTTGTGGTTACAATATTTTCTGCAATCATCCTACTTTCCATGAATACGGAGGAATATTATTTTCAAGCAGTTTTTAATGTCAACCTCACAGTCAAAGCTCTCTCGACCGTTCTCTACTTTCCAAATTGGAGATTTATATTGTAACCGTGGCAAAAACCAGATCGAGTGGTTCCATCAAGTGAAAATGTGGAAAGTGATGGGATGGAAGAACTGGTTTCTGAATTTTGAACTAACTCAAGATGGCAAGCAAATACATTGTTTCGTAACAGAAAACTTAAACAGTTGATTTATTTATATCATTCAAAGCCACGCCTATTTAGCAATAAAGTTTTGCTTTTGTAAACTTTTGAAAATCTACTTTTCTACAATAATTGTGTACATAACATTTGTGAAAATAAGTAAACATTGTAGATCAGCTTTGTACTTTATCGTATTTTTTTTTCAGTCATCAGATTTCCTAACTTACTTGTTCTGTTTCTGTGAAATGGAAAAATCAGCAATTTTTTTATCAGTTTTGTGTTGATGTCTTGTTGTCCTTGTTGAGTTTCCTTGTTTACACTATCTCACTTACAATATTTTCTTCAAACAATTAAACATGATTTCATTCTGAATAAATATTACTTTTTTCACCTCATTAGTTAATCAGTTATTACCAGCTTTGTAGCTCATGTAAAATGTTTGTGTAGCGCCTGTGGATCCTCATTGTAAATATCTGAGCGACACAATTTAGCACAACGATGCGTATGTTGTTCTTGTTTAATAGCGGTGTTTTGGTTTGTTTGAACAATTTAAAGTTTGAACATAAAATCAAAATTTGAACAAGGTTTTTATTTTTGTGCAAGGTAGGACCCAGCTATAAATACTATGATTGAAGTATATTTTTGTGTGAATAAACTGGACCAAATCCTGCAATGAATTCATCAAGATATGATTGAGATAATAAAACAGAGAAAAGAAAATTTAATAATTTTGAGATCAAATGCGCTTTAGGTAATTATGTTTCAACAGCTGTAAATTCATTTTAATGTGTTTCTGTCACCGCATTAAAAATGCATAAAATTTAGTTGGATTCTACTTGCGTCATAGACTTAGATTACGGGGACATATTTGGTGTTAACCAAGTGTATCGGAGTACACGGTCGTATTATTAAAACAGCGACCTCATTACTTACCTTACTCCTTACTGTATCATAGTGCTAAACATATCGGAACGAACGCTGGGACTGTGGTCGCGTAAAGATTTTCCGGGGTCGCCTAATTTCTGTCAAACACGCGCACACAAGTGACTATGATTTGAAAGTTGGAGAGTGAAATTTGTGCTGTTCGGCAGGCACTGGAAAAATGACCAACTTCGGACAAAATATTCTTTTTTTTACCTTAAACTCGACCATTTATTGTCCAAACGTCACCAAAATTCGTCGGTATATCATTCATATGATACTTAACCTTCCCAGCTGGTGGGCAGGTATCGGTATTAGTAAATGCAATTGAGTGAGAGCGTTACGAGCGCCAATAATATTTCCCTTTTCATGGTATTTTTAAATATGTTACATCCGAATGGGTAGTTGATCGTAGTCATTATCTTTTCATTCATAGGTGGTCGGTCGACCTTGACCTTGGAAGTCTTGCCCGTCCCCTTCCGTATATATTTTTGTGCTTATAGTTGTTTGTTTATGCCCTATGCTTATTGTATTATGTACTTGTATCGGAAATAAATCATCATCTATCATGGTTAATTTGAGTAATGATTAATGAGTAATGGTTAGGAGTTAAAATTGTGAATCTTAAATATAATAGCCTGGAGAGGTATAGTTGACTTTGCTGACCGCCTGGTCACATCACACCCTCCTGTCTATACCAAACTAAACAATTACTTTGTATTATTTTTATTATTACGATGACTATTATTTTAGTTTGGTTGACGAAAAAATAAATTTCTCTCTCTTTCTCTCTCTCTCTCTCAGAAACTGCAGGCTTAACTGGTGCGCGAACCGGATTTTTGCCAAGATAAATTATGTTGGTTTGTTCTTTTGTACCAGTGTACTTGGCGATTGGCCCTTGAATAGGTGTTTGACAAGTATGGTATTGATTGTAGTTACACTTCAGGTTTCGATAATTTGTGAAATTGGTTTGTTAAATCGCGCACGTGTCTGGACGTGTTTTGTCCACATCGACCTATTGCAATATTACGTATTTCAACGTTTTATACTTACATAATTTCGAAGAGTTTTGAGCAGATAAACACAAAACAACAACAAGTTCTAGTATAATAAAACGTACTTAAATGATGAAATTCCGTACACGCTTTTTTCTATTTTACTTTCATGCTCTGTTCTACTTTTAAATTAATAATCGAGAAATCTGTAATAAGTTAACATTGAACTAAATATAAAAAAGACACTGTTGGAATATACAAAATGAGATTTTAAATTTATGTATATTTAGAAGCAATCTCACTATTTACCAAGTATCGTACGCTTCCTTACAATTTATCACATTTTATCAAGTTCCTCTATGTTTTGCCAAAGAACCGTATAATTCTGATCTAGGACATTTTTCTACCGTGGTTTACATATGATGCCATGTGTTATCAAATTTTCGAGGTTACCCCGTTTTCCAACGCATCGCCCGACTATTATATATTTTCTGAGACAATGTTAACCGTCAACGTCTACTTGTAGTCGATATACCGGTACATTGTTCTAAATGAGATAATCAAACTGATATACTGATTTTTGAAGTTGCTAAACATTTCTGGTTCTGGGGTCGCGAGTATCTGTAGGCTATAATTTTATGAAAATTGGGGTCACGAAAAAAAGTTTGGAACCACTGCATTAAATGATGTAGAATGTCTGTGAAGAAATTTAATCACACGTAACTGGAAGGAAGATATTCACATATTCAGATTATTAACATCTTGTACTGACCATATTATTCACTAATCATTACTGAAATGATTGTTCAGTTTCACAGATGTTGCGTTTTTGTGTACCATTATACATCACCAAATCAGGTGCACCCAGAATCAATCTTTTTTTTTAGTTTCTTGTTCAAAATATTGTTTGAAATAAGTACATTTATTAAGTATAAGTAAGTCCATCAAAATAATATAGAAGGGAAAACCCTAATTCTAAAAAAAATGTGGCAACTTTGTTTTGTAGCGCCATCTCGAGGCAATGTTGTTCCCGTATGAAAGCGTTCACCTGTGTTCGATTCTTAAATTTAATTAATACAGCTATTGCAAGGTAGCCGCTAACAAGCAGACCGAATGGTTATTTCGCGGTCATCCTTTCCGTTCTGGACAAGGCATGTATATATTTTCAATTTTGCTCCAATTTTTTTGAGCCCGTTTGCCTGTACGGCTAATAAAAATGTATTTGATTGATTGATTGAAATGTTGTGTTAAAGAAACGCGTATCTAGACGAACTACATTTGATTCTTATAATAAATCGTTAACGATATTTAAATAAAACTATTTTGCGCTATTTAGTTCGTCTAGATACGCGTTTCTTCATTACAACAAAAAACTCAAAAATATTAGGATACAAAATACTGGTTTTCTAGGTGCGACTGATTGGGTGATGTACAATAGTGCAACAAAACGCAGCATCGGCGTAAATAAACAATCATTTCATTATTGATTGGGTGAATAATAAGGCCAGTAAAAGGTGTTAATCACTTGATTGTGTCTTTTCTTCCTTCCAGTTGCATGTGAAAAATTCTTTCGCAAATATGTTATATATACCATTGATGCATATGATCATATAATAGTCAACATCAATGATATATGACGTTGTACTGTACAGTTCAACCGTATGAGAATCTGGACATCCCAGCGTC